TATATATATATACACTAGACACGCCATTTTGTATTTGGCAAAGGAATTATATGGGTACCGGTAACTAGTTTCAAGTCATCAAAATCTTATTGCTATCATCATAGTGCACTGAAGTCTAAGCACTGAATAGATAAAGGGGAAAAAAATATCACAGTATAGCCTATTCCTCCCCGTTAAATTTTCAGTCACTGGCTTACCAGGATGCTGGGACGAATTTGAAAATTATCAAATGAAATTATTGGATTGTAAAATAAGAAAAGGTCTGGTGCCAGAAAGAGAGAACGGTCCACAAACGGGAGCCAGGGTTCACCGTTGACTCATTCTTGTACAGCAACACAGGGATGTTCTTTTCACTTGGTTTTAGACAGTAACATACAGTCCTACAAATTATGTGCTTCTTCCATTACTTTGGTCCCCATTAGCAGTTAGCTTGGAAGCATCGTAATGGGGGGAAAATAAAGCCAATACGAGGCTCTATCACCAACCCAACCCACAAAGGAAAGGACAACATCCAGGAATCAACCGATAGTAGACCAGTAAAGATCAGCAGATAGTTTTATCACATGTCTTTTTAATCAGTAATCAGTACATGATAAGGAATTCTGACTTATGACAAAAGTGAGACACCACAAGTGAATGAAATCGTAACTTTGTGTGAAAGAAATGTATGACGAAAAGACTGCCAGTTGGTCTCACCGTGGTGTCAGGAGGGTGCATTTCACATGTCTTGTCCCTGTTACGAGCAGTAACACAGAATCTCTTTGTTCACCACAATGATCACACCAGGGTTTTCAACTGCTTGTTTGTCACTAATACCTGCAGACATAGACTCATCGACCCCTCTTGACTTTTTTTTGTTTTTGTTTTTTTGTTTGTTTTTCAGGATCACACCTCCAGACATAGAAAGGGCACAAATCATTACAAATAAACGCAAACAAGGAGGGAAATATCCCTCCACTTTTAGAGTTCTACTCTACACGAAACAAAACCCCAAAAGGTCTTCCCTAGCCTGCGACAACAACACCTGGGAACAAAGGTGGAAGCTGACCTAAAAGCACACACAGGAACTCACCCTTACAGCTCCTGCCGTGCCAGTATCCATGCTACAACAAAGCACATCAGAGAGCTGCTCCTCACTACAACACTTACAGTTACAGTACAGAGACACTGCTCACTCACAGAATCTTAAGTTAAGAAATGTTTCTCTCAAAATCAGCAAGACACCTCACGGAATCATTCTGAGAGACAATTCTCTTTAAACCATTTCGAGATGTGTCTTAGTTAGGTTGGTCAGTGAGGCGTCTCTCTCACCGAGTCCAATCAAGAGAAGACTTTCACCAAAACAACGAGAGAGGTGTTGCTCACTATATCATTTCGAGAGGCGTAGACGTTCAGGCTCTCCTTGCAAACGTCGGGACTCAGGACAAGTCACTGAGCTCATCCTACCAGCCATAACAGCTTAGAAGTTAAAACCAGTTCTCAAAGACAGCAGTATGGAACAGTTGAAGCCACACTCCAGCCCCCTCACCTCACAGAATTGGGAGGAGAGTGACAACCCACGCCCCATATTCTTGATCAATAGCAGGAACAATGTCTCTCTCTCTCTCTCCGCTTGAAGAGTGCACTTTGCTTTTGTATTGTAGTGCTCACAAAGACCCACATATATACTTGAGCTACACAAAAAGTACACCAAAATAAAAATAAAAGGCTACATAGTACAGGGCTACTTCACTTTTTTCCAATAGTAATTTAATGAATGTGAAACAGTGACAGCTAACAATAAAAAGCGCATCAAACTCATAGACCGCCTCCAGTTTCAGTTATACAAAATTTTGTGTTTTAACAAAAAGTATGGACCAAACAAATGTCGCAGTACCAAATGCATCATCATGTAAGTTTCAGATAAAACAAACTCCAGCACGCACTCAATCACTCCAGAAAGTCAAAATAAATCTGGCCAAGCCAAACAACATCCTGAATAAAAATAAACAAGTACAAAAAAAATAATTTCAGCTTTTACCAAACCATTTGCAACATCTTTCATGTTTCACGACTGTCACTTGCTTCGCAAAACATCAAGTCTTCCTGAATCTCTGTAGACATGATGATGAAATGGGTAGAGATATATATAGAGATATATATATATATATATATATATGTACCACATAAATATGTTGCATTTCATGACAAAGGAGCGCTGGATTAATCACCAAAGACTTTTTTTTAATGACACAGTCGAGCTGGGACGGTGGGGAGGGGAACTGTAAACAACCAAAAAACGAAACCTAACAAAAAAATAACAAAAAACCAAGACAATGGTGATTAACAAACAAAGACGTACTAAGTCCACTATACAATTTACATAGACAATAATTCCTGTCATCCAAACAAATGTACAAGAGCACAATCAGTAAATTTTTTCAGTTGAATTGGACCTTAATTAATTAGCGGGGAGGGGAAGTGGGGACATCACAATGAGAAGTGCATGCCACAATCGCTTTTCTCAGAAAAACTGACAAGCACGCACACATCGCACGCACGCAAGTCCACATGATACACAAAAGCAAAACACACCTCCCATTTGAGCTCTTCTGGCATAAGTTATTCTCATCTACCCAGTCTCACATCAGCCTTCCGTTGTGCAAGCACACACACACGCTCTGTGCGGACCGAGGACACGCCAGCAGGCCACCGTCACAACCAGGGCGGCAGTGGTGGGCTCCCCTCTGTCCTTAGAGCCATCACACTTCTGTGCACATTCAATTCTGCCTGAAAGGAGAAGCACTCTCCTTGTGGCATGCAATTCCTCAAAGCACTTGACCATACACATCTATGTCAAGTGAGAAAGACAGCAGAGAAGAGGAAAATAACAGTGTCTCCATCATTCATGATTCAAGCAACAGACTTGTACCTTCAGTTTGCTATACCCTTGAACTGAGCTGTACCGTGAGAAAAGGCTAGCACATGTACACCATATCCGTCATTTAGTGCATGTAAAAAAACAAGATAGACAAAAACAACGCAAGGAAAGACAAGAAACAGGATCTACCAGTGGCGGCCTCCATCCACCTGTACGCTTTAGCTGAAGACTATTACATTTCAAAAGACAGCCAATACCAAGAAGTTAGAAAAAAAAATCGTATCAAAATGAAATTATGTATATGCTCTTTTCATAGGACAAAAACCACTTGGGCTGCTCAACAGCATCACAATAGCGTGTTTGGGTCCTTAAACCACAGAAATTGAAAAGGAAACTTTCTCACTTCTCATCTATATAACGAAGAGGTAGCTCAATTTCAGCAAGCAGACTCATTTGAAAAAAAAAAAGTCCAAAACTTGGGGTCGAACAAGGCAAAAGCTTATTTACATTTTTTTGATATTGCAGCGAAATAATGGAAAAGAAACAACTGAGACTGCAAAGCAAATTAGTACTACTGCCTAAATTTTAGAACAAGGTTGCCAGTTCAAGAAAATATGAAATAGTCTTCAACTTGAACATTGCCTTGTGAGCAACTGAATAAGCAAACTAACTCAGATTTAATAATCAGACTATCAAAATTTTCAAATAAACAATAACGATGAACAGCTGCATAAATACAAGTGAGACACAAAGGGAATACATGATACAACAGGCTTGTCCACAGAGAAATATGTGTCTGCTCATTGGCTCTACCTAGACTTCATACAGAGGTGGGGGTGGGGGGGAATTAGTAACAGGGATACATTTTTCCCTCAGCCCATAGGCACCACGTCTCCCATATTCTGGCACAGATGACACCCTACAAGCTGCATGAACAAGGGGATCTATACACAAGATTGCGTGGCGCACTTACAAAAAAAATAAATATAACTACAACAAAAGAAAACATGGCAAATACCTGTTAACATAGTATAAAAGTACCACTTCAATCAACACCTCGAATGTAATCATAATTCTGTTCCCTTTCAAGAAATAAAGAGGGCGCTGTTTAAGAATTCCTGCTTGTCTTTCTCTTGCAATAAATTTATTGCAGTCAGCCTTGCTACTTTGGCTACATCCAAGTTGGCTATCGCAAAAATGTCTCAAAAAGGTTGGGCCAATGGAATGAGCACGAGCAACAAACCCTTAGTCTTAATACTTAGATCTTTTACTTGCAAATAAATTTTGGCAAAATGAAAGCTACCACACACAGAGCCATCACGAAAATGGTGGATCAACCCAAATCTGACGGACATATCACTAAAATGTGGAAAACTTCAAGCCCACGAAGGGCTTACTTATCCTGTGGCCATCAGCTTCTCAAACTGGGCTCTCCAATGTGAATGATGCCAAGCATTTATAAATACGAGTTAAAACAAGGAGTCATAAACAGGCTCATAATTATGATTATATCAGAACACGCAAATGACATGCTCATTTACGCATGAACTCTCTGAGGTAACCCCACTGCCATAGATTTACCATTTTCATTCCAGAAAAAGAAAAAGGTGGTACATGAAAAAGTATGAACACAAAACATTACTCCCTGCCCGCTATATTGCCTGTTCACAAGTTTTGGATTTTGCTTCAAGATAAACAAAGAAAACCCCCCCAAAAATGCTGACAAAAAGTGTTCTTTTTACAATGTGACTATATCTTTTATGTATGGGTCTTTAACATAGCAAAGTGGCTCATCTCCCTTATAAATAATGACAAAGAGTGGAGGCCCTAAACATAAAGAAACGTGAGCTTTTCATGAAGATCTGCAACATATAAATCTTGAAATGTTCATACAACAATAATGAAAGAAGATAACACAATGAAATCAAACCAAAATTTTTAAAAAAGATAATTAATTGCCCCAGTTTTCAAAAACAACATGGCAATGGATTCTAAAATACTTTCTCTTACCAAATAAAAAGTACAGAGTTCCTGTATCTTTCAGAAGAGACCCTGTCCAGTGCATGCTATATATATGACACCCACACTTTTTAAACCTATTAGAGACAAGTTAGCTGTTACACCACAGGAACCCATCTCATTCACTGAACACTTCAGACATACATTTCGCGCCCAAGAAAACAAAAAGATATAATTTTAAAATGCACAATAATTATGTAACAAAGCACAAACTCGCATACATCAACACGCACACTCACACACCCCCAGTACAAAAGACAAGTCAAATTCTGTGCCAAAATTGTTCAACACCACTTTCACCCTTCCTTGGTGTAATCTTGTACTGGAAAAAAAAATCACAACAGAAGCCACACAAAGCTCATCCTTGACCCTATCCCACAACTCTGTGCGACACTATTAGTTCTGCTCTGTTGCCAAGGTCGAGAAAGTGCACACAAAAAGTGGAATGACAGCATATCAGAAGGGGGAAATTCAAATAGCAACATAAGTGCGCACCCCTACATTTTCGAGAAATGTTTTGAGAGCTCAGTAGAGCGAACACACAATCACTTGCATCTGCAAGATCAATCTATTTTAATTCAAATTAAACTGTCAAACTTACGTCTAGATTTTTAAAAAGGGATATTTTTTTAACTCAGTGACTTTCTTATACTAGATGAAAAGACAAGAAAAAAGAAGTAAACTTCAGTCTTGAAAGCACAACAGAGCAGCTTGAGGGAAAGCCAATATTATTTTTTTTTAAAACCCAACCTTACTTGGAGTAAGGCAACTGCTCCAGTTTTTTCCTGCATAAATAATTCTTAAAAAAAAAAAAAGCAGTGCTACAGTCAAGAGAATCTGTCCACATGTCAGATCAGTACACAAACAAACTAGTCTCCACTGCATGCTCTTACAACCTGATCACAATACTCGCTTTGCATTCTCATGTTGGTACCAATACAGAGAGATTTGCACATATGAGATGAGCGTCTCACCACAGTACATGTCTTTTCTTGTATTACACAGAATCAAGAGCAAAGGGAATAAACAAAAGCATGGGGCAAATGGGTCCGGGGGAGTTGGGGGTTGGGGGGTGGGGAACAGGGCATCTGTTACTTGCAGCAGCCTCCTTCTGATTGTTGTCCGCCCTGTTCATTGTTGAGCCTCACACCCTGTTGCCTTTGCTGCGGCGTGCCTTGGCCCTCACTCTTGGGCAGCTTTTTAGCTGTGGACGCAACAAGGTAGCGTTAATAATAATAATAATAATAAATGATAAATGCATTTATTTAGCACATTTTCATGTTACCCCAGACCTTTGATCATTCAGACAACAGTCTTGGCATTCCAAGAAGCAAGAAGGGCAAACAGCAGATAAAGCAATCAAACACTTTTTTGTTTAAGATTTAGCAAGAGTTTTACAGCACTTACAACACAATAAGGTCATATAAGTGTTGAAGATTAGGTGTTACAAGAGAGTAACAAACAAAAAAGAAAGAGAAGAGATCAGGACGATAGATGTTTGATAGGAGAGAAGGAGCAAACCACACTAGAGCACCCGACAACCAATTGAAAGACTAAGATACTCACCCCCCCCTCCCTCCCCCGCCGGGATTTTCCTAGGTGGAAATTAAACTCATGTCTTTTGTGCGTAAAAAGGAAAAGTCTACCCGTTACACCATAGTGTATCTTGAGGAAGTGTGACAATATAAAGACCATCTGAAATAAAAAAGCTGAATGCAAATGGTAGGCAAACACAGCAAAACGAAAAGGAGATTTCTGATTTCTCTTTGTCACACTGTAGATCAGCCTTTTGGTCTTTGATTTTTCCAAGCCATGATAAAACGACCCTCTTGAGACATCGCGTCTCTCTCACATTCCAGTACCATGTCACTCCCTTCACAACTCAAAAAGAAACCCCAGCAAGATGATATGAATATGAAGATAGCATCGCTAATTACACATCCAAAAATGTCTCAAACTAACGAGAACTCCCGCTATCTTTTTCACATAATCTTTATCACAGACACAGTAAGTCAATGGCGATAAATAACCCACCAAAATGCTCTTCAGTCAAAGCAAATTCTGAAACCAAAAACCACTTGACAAAAGAGGGCCACAGTACAGCAATCTACAAACCAGACGTACAAACGTAGCACTACTGAAGGCGAACGTGCCCAATAGAGACCAGAATATCATCTACCATAATGGACAAAAGAACAGAAGGGTGTACAAATTTATAAAATATGCATTATAAGAAGAAAAAAGAGGTAAGGAAAAACCAGGGTTCTATTTCAGCTTAACTTAAGTAACTAATCAGGTTGGCCACACACCTGACTCAAACTATGTAGGTCAAAGTTTATTATGTGTAAAACTCATTTTCAATAAAAGCAAACCTTTAACTGATATCAAGTATTTTATAAAATACACTTGTTGTATAACATTCCCTATCAATGACCTTTCAAATTTTAACCCTTTCGGGCCTGGCAGTCAAGTGAAAGGTACAATTCTCAGGGGATGACCAAACCTCGTGCCTGGGCCTCAACTCAACCTACTGAGACGACAGGTTCTGCATGGTGCAGTTGTTATACCAGTGCTTCCACCACATGAAGCTGAAAAGTAAGGAACATTCTGTCGGGGGTCTGGGCCCCAGCAGGGTCCAGGGACAGCGTCCCGGTGGGGGTTCAGGGGGGCTTCGAAGAAATTGAAATTTAGTACTTTTAGAAGGTTGAAAATGGCATTTGGGAGCCTGTTTGAAGAGATTGCCAACAACCCATACTACCTACTTTTTCACTAAGATTTAATCGATTTTGTCTTGTTTGATTTCTTCACCAACATATCTTTCCATTGCTGGCAATGTTTAAAAGAAGGGTTCCCCTTCCATTGCTACTATAATTCAATTAATTAGTCATCGCACCATTGATAGAAGGCAAACTTGGGAATAATGAATAGATATGTACCTTCACAACACAATACAGTTACCCAGCGTATACCCTAATTTTCCTCAATTTTCACGTCTGAATGTCGCATGTCACAACCTCGCAACACCACTTCAGATTATTCTCAATTTTAATAGTTTTAGCACAAATTTCTTTTATCGCGGCCCTTATCACATTCCCGTGCCGTAGAATCTTTGCACTGATAATTTCTCTAGATCTAGACAACAGGGTTGGGTTGATTTAAATCAGTTGATTTTTTTGATTTAAATCAACTTGATTTTTTAAATAAAAATCAGTGATTTAAATCACTTTTTTTAAAAATTATTTTTATTCGGTTTTTACACATTTCAACATTCAGAATTCCTTTCCTTGGTTTCATAAAACAGATATAAGGTTCAGTAGACTAATATAATCATGCTTAAAAGTCTGATTTCCCCCCTTTCACTGTAAAATAATACAGTATTCAATTTACTTTTTTTTCCATAATTGAAATCAGAGCTGGGTTGATTTAAATCAGTTGATTTTTTAAAAGTTTTAATCAATATGATTTTAAAAATAAAAATCAGTGATTTAAATCACTTTTCAAAAAAATTTATTCAGTTTTTACATATTTAAACTTTCAGAATTCCTTTCCTTGGTTTTATTTTAAACGGATATAAGGTTTAGTAGACTAATATAATCATTAAAAAAGTCTGCTTTCCCCCCTGTCACTGTAAAATAATACAGTTCTCAATTTACTTTTTTTTCATAATTGAAAACCAGGGTTGGGTTGATTTAAATTAGTTGATTTTTTAAAATTTAAATCAACTTGATTTTAAAAATAAAACTCAGTGATTTAAATCACTTAAAATTTTTTCTTCTTCTGTTTTTACATCTTTAAACATTCAGAATTCCTTTCCTTGGTTTTATAAAACAGATATAAGGTTTAGTAGACTAAAATTGCTTAAAAGTCTGCTTTCCCCCCCTGTCACTGTAAGTAGTAAAATAATACAGTATTCAATTTACTTTTTTTTCATAATTGAAATTAGCATTTTCTTTTTCTTTTTAGACAAACACAAGCGCGTGCTCACACACACACTGTAATAAAAATAAAATGCAAATTTATCTATGCATAATTACCCCTCCCCCCCCCTCCTTTTAGACTGACATTTTCTTCATTTTTTGTCCGTAGCCATAATTCCCTGATATAGCAGATTAAGGCTTTCTAAAATTGCAGTTGCTTAAATTAATCATTAGTTAAAATAAAGACAATGCATTTTGCACTAAAAGAACATACTTTAAGCCACCAAAAATCCCAAACTGTGTCGACATTTTAAAAAAAATCAAAAAAATCCGATTTAAATTAAAAAAATCTGATTTAAATTTTAAAAAATCGATTTTTTAAATTTAAAAAATCACCAACCCTGCACTAGACAATAAATTTGTAAAAAAGTTTCTTTCCGACAGAAATTTTCTGTCTAATATCACAAGTCAATATACTTGATCAATGCGCAGATTTTCCAGTCACGGCAACAATCCGAAGATAGACAGACGGAGTGAGGGATTGATAGAAAGGAGGAAAGTGGCACAAAAAGTTCGCCAGATTTTGACCAATCTGCAGGTACAAAATGTACTGCCGACCAACCCGCAATGAATGCATGGGGCATATAGCGGAATATGGTAATGGCCAATGGCAGGAAATGCCCAATTTGGCAGGTTTCTATAACATAAAACTATATTTACATGTCGTAAATATCCGTCACTTATACAAAACGATACGAAGGCCAGAACTGATCTTTTGCTACGGAATTTCGGTAGTCCTACGCTGTCGCAGATTTTTACTGAGGAAGTGGATAATGATGGAGGAACAAGTACGGAAAAAGCAGAAAGTACGGATTTCCATAAAAATATGGAAGAGTGGAAGCACTGTATACCCTAATACAGCTTTTAGAAATCGCTCCCAGCTGTGATAGTATGGTAGGGCTACCTGTTCATTCCAGGCCTTTTTCATCCAAATGGGGAAACACAACTTGCAAGTCTCTTTTCCTAAACATAATCCACAATTACTTTCAAGGAAGTGGAGCAAACAAGTACAACAACAAAAATTGTTCAACAAAACTTGGAATCATAAAAGGAAGAAGATGGAATTGTAACTCTTTTTCCCTAATTTTGAAGAGAAAAAAAGTATATTATTCTTATACAGGGTTCAAGAATAGTATCTTTTTGCGTTATGATTTTTGTTTCATCCTCTAAAATGCAAACCTTCTTGTACACACAACGTCTGAACTGACAGACTCAAATTATTGCTCAAACTCAGAGAAAAGCAACAACTTGAATGGCTCGAGTAGACCCAGGCACTGTGAGAGTTGTAACAACTGTGGTAGGGCAATGCAGTGACACTGAAAATCTGCCAGTCTTGAACAGAAAGCTATAACATACACTGTAGGTATAATTTACTAGATCTATCACCCATCCAAGAAGGAATAATTACTTTCACCCATCCAATGAAACGTGAACACTTTATTTCAATAACACAGACTTGCAAAGTATGGCGCTTTTCCAGTAGTTCCCACCCCGCAATTGTTATTTGCCGGTTTTGGCCCAAGAGAGAAGGGGTTTCAGGTGCCCCCCTGACCTATTCAAAATAAGGTGGGGGGTTTCAGGGGGGCATGCCCTTCTGAATTTTACAACAATTTAATGTTTTGCAGTTGTTAGGTTTGATATCTTACCTTGCCGTGAATCAAACGTATAGATCTAGAATCTAGATGTAGGTCAGGCTCAATAAGGGGGGGTGGGAACTACCGAAAAAGCACCCAAAGTATGAGGGGTCCCGATTCCGCACACAGCCTGCACCAACGCGTGCTTTGCAGAAAGCTCTAATCAAAATTCTGAAATGTGCTTCCAAGATTTTGTCCTCTGGTGATGCCTTAGATCCCCCGATAGTATCTTAACCCCCCCAAAAATCAGAAATCTCCTCCCCTATTCCGTAGTCATATACTTCGCAACGCCGTTACTCCCACCAAAGACGCTGTTTACTCACACGATGCCGCATTTATTTATGATGCGAATGCACGCAGGTTCAGAGACCGGTCACGATGGTGAGCAAGACAATCTAAAAATCGGATGACGCTTTTATTTTCTTTTGTTTTGTTTTTTTCCACAAGTGACAGCCAAAGCGATGAGTCCGAGTATTTATTACATTTTATTTGCACGGCGACATTGCGTTCATACTGTACAACCTGCATGCCACAAATGTTGCGTTATCAGACAACTGCTGGCAAACTTCTCGGTGGTAGCGAAAGCGAAAGTAGATCTTGATTTTCCCGATCGAGCCTCACTCGGTGTCACATACGCTTCCACCTGCCGCCATAGCTGCCTATTCGCGTGAAAGTGAAACGTACTCTCGGGACGGGGAAAAGCTGACGAATAAAATATCACGATCGCGACCGGCAAAAATGAACTTACTGACCACATCGGACTTGGTTTTCGAATATTCCAGTTCTGCGATACTGGTACTATTTTGACAAAAGATGGGACTTGAGATAATTAGGTTTACTCGCCCAAGCTGATTTTCGTATTTTTCGCATTCCAGGATGCGTATTTTTTCATGAAAAGTCGTATTCGCGTATTTTCGGCAAAAAATCGTACTAAAATACGTAAAATCGTACTGGTTGGCATCTCTGGGTATATAACACCAACAAAAGTAGCAACGTTACCTCCAACCCCCCCTTTTTTTTTAAGGGGGGAGGGGGGGAAACAAGGACAAGATTGTCAGGGACACATGTCATCGGCAAGCTGCTAAAATGTACTTAGCCCAGAAAGAAAAATTTTTCAGGAAAGAGAAAAAAAATAAAATGGTTTCCCTTTTCTAACAACAGTACCTACATCAAGTATCTTTTCTTACTAACTATTTAACATTTACATTTTCAACTTTAACAAAATAATTCTGGAGCATGTGTAACCTACACTGCAGATTAAGAAGCTGCCATTTAAAAAAATGTAACCATTTTGGGCTTTGTTCATCTGAACAGCAAGCCAACAACACGCTTTTTTTTTCAAGAAATGACCTACCTATTGCAAGGAAAATATCGTTGACATTCATTGCTGTCTTTGCTGAAGTTTCCATGAACAACAAACTGTTCTCCTCTGCATACGCCTGAGCCTCTGCGAACTCCACCATTCTCTTGTTGGCCAAATCTGCCTTGTTTCCCGCCAAAGCTATCACAATGTTAGGGCTGGCTTGTCTCTGGAGCTCTTTCACCCATGTTTTGGCCCTGCCAAATGTGTCCTGGAAAAAAAAAACATGGTACAACACAAATTCAAAACAATGATCTGACATGGAAACAAATGTGCTTTCAATACTGGCTAAAATCTAATTTGGTAAAAAAAAAAAAAAAAATACACAGTGAAATGAGTTGCTGAAGATTCGAAACAGTCCGTGTCAGCTTTAAACGAACGAACGATTCATTTGGGGCCAGTGAACGTGCCTTTAGCCTTGTAAATCCTCTAATAAAGAATCTTTCCCATGACAAAAGCCCTCAATTACATAAAAAGTGCCTTTACCCAGTATGTACCCCAAGTACTGTTGAATGACAAATTTTTCTTTCCAAAATAGGCAAAAAAGCTGTAACGGGCACCTGTCCAAAACAAGATACCAATACAAACGACCACTTCCCACTTGTGTTCTTCCATACATTATAATGACGGCAGTTTCAACTGTCCTTGTGTCGCTCAGTAATCTACTAAACAGTTACTTGATTAGTTTTAAAAAAGTAGCGATGCTAATCGCCCCCTGCACTTTGGGCCGGAAATCGGGCACCACACAAGGGGTACTTTATGGGCTGCTCGAGATCAGAGGTGACTCTCTTCGAAGTATAGTTACGGTAAAACTCGAGGACGAAAATGAATGATACTCAGCAAACCATTCAGAGGAAAGGTCAAACTAACGACATGCTGGCGTACAATGCCGAATGATTTCTAGAACCAGAGAAATTACTGTGTTTGTGTGATTTTCCTGTGGTTCAAAAACTAAGCGGAGCAGCGGACTGGTCACCTACCAGACAGGACCCAAATGTCTTGCTCTTGCTGTAAAATTTCAGATCTCTGTGTGAAATACACTTTACGGACCAACTTAAAATAACCATCCATTCATTGATAAAACACTAGAGCTGGAAACTAGATCATGGACGTAACACACTAGTTGTCGGCATGCAAGAGGCACGTGATTGCTAGGCGGCATGTGATTGGCTGCCTATAACTAAATAAGCCACTGCTGACTACATCGCGGGTTTTCCCGATACCGCTTTGCTACGTTGTAGAAGGGGTGATCGATTGCAGTTCAAACCATGTCGAGCAATTCAACAAATTTTCATGCAAATATTAGTCTTAAAGAACCAAAGTAACAAAGACATTGAAAAAGTGATAGCATAACTAGATTTATTTATATACAGTACACGGCTGTTAAAATGCGACTGAAAGTGGTACTTTAGTTGGTGGCCGTGCCCCAGTCTGACCTCCCGCGCGAAGGTAATAAATCAGTGTCAGTCGGCCACTCCCGAGCTTAACAACCGTGACGATAGCGATGCCCGCCGCCATGCCTGCGTAACTCGGTTCTGGTAATTTTCGTATCACTTTCCCTCGTTATTTCTCCCGATCTGATAAACCTAGAAGCTTGTTTATCATCTCATTTTAAAGATCATCTTAAGACTAACAAGACGATCCCAATTTTGCTCCGGAAATCTCACTGGTGTTATAGCAGTTACGCATTTTGCAGTACAAGTGTTTTGTTCATCTAATGTTGCATTTATTCCATTTTGAAGTTTATTATCTCAAAAGCCAAACTCAGAATTTTTCACTCAGATTTCTCTGCTTCACTTGAGACAGCAATACTTGAACCGTGTGAGCAAATGTTATTTGTGGGAAGCGAATGTGTGATTTTACATGATTTTTAAAAAAAGGGTACCCCCTCCCGTGATTCACTCGCATGTGATCTTTCACTTTTCTTCTTAAATATCGCGTTATTTTTCCAACACTTCTCATCGCTTTTTTGGAATATTTTAGCCCAGTTAAGAAATGGAGAAACATACAGAGGATTCGCTTTTTCAAAAGCTGCATGAACGTTTCAGAACTTGTGGTGGCAGAACACTGTCAGTCAAGCAGAAGGCACAGAAAAGGCGACCCCTGCAGTGTTCTAAATTTGCGTCGGACACTCTGTTTGCCTTAGGTGTTAGCATTACAATGGACTCACAGACAGTACATTAAAAAACCATCTGTAAAGCTTGCGTGGACAAGATAAGACATATGGAGTTGTGGGGAGGAACTAAATGGGGAGGTTAGACATTTAGAAGGTTGCGATGTACTTTCTGACTGTGAAGAGGAGAAAATTAACTTTCAAAAACAGACGGAGAAAGAAGACAGGTTGTTGGAGTTAGAGCACGAACCCCCTAACCCTAGGACTGGCCCTATCTGTTCTCATTTAGACAGCATACTTAACTCACACAACATCACACCGCTGGCATATATCACGGCCGCTCTTTCATTGGCAATCACTGCCACAAATACATCATGAGTCACGTTTATAAAGACCTCACGGCATTTATTGTAAAAGAAACAGTAGAAAACACCCACAACCAAAACATAATTGACACCGCACTCTCATAAAAAAATTCAATCATTTAAACAACGCGTTTCGGGACGTTCACATTCACATCTCACACGGCCACCCAGTGTCAAAAGACGGACTACCACACTTTGACAACATGCATCAAAACTTACATGTCATTCTACAGGAGACACTTTAGTGAAAAGGTACTTCCCAAACACCACATTCTCGAAAACCACTGCATCCCGAGGATACAAGCATATGGGTTTGGTTTGGCTTTACATGGGAAACAGGGTGGTGCACTTATCCATGCTTCTGTGGCAAAGCTAGAGAGAAGAGGAGCTGGGATACATAATATCGAACAGCAGCTGAAAGTTGTCATGCAATCTTACCCTGTCATGTCAAACCCAAAACTATTATCCAACGTGCCTCCGACAAAGAAAAAAAAGGTGATACTGCAATCAACTCTTCACTACTCCAAAACCATGGACTTCCCTCAAAAACAGCAAAGTGAGTTTTGATATTTGACCATTTCTGGTGTATTTTATGTGAAATTGAAGGGTTGATTAAGTTCTGTTTGATTGGAATTTAGATTTTAAAATATTCACGCCAAAGGGCAATGGTACAATATGAGCCATTTTTGGAGCGCTATATATATTTATCGTTATTTCATACAATTTTGCATCTTTCTCAGTAAGTACAGAAGTTCCCCCTTGTTCCAAACAGGCAAAATAAAATGACGATACATACGATCGGCGTATTTTGCGAGTTTAATTGTCCTAAAAATGAAATGAACAATGCTGTTAGCGGGACACGGGGAATTACCCTGACCACGAGTTCATGACCCGGTGACCCGGGTCAGATTACAAGGTGCAGCGCGCTGGCTGCCTGCGAACTAAAGTACCGCTTTCTAACAGCCGTGAGTAGTCTCTGCCCAGATCCCACCACTTAAGGTCCCGGTCCGCCTAAGATCCTGCAGTTTTTTAAAAACAGAATTTTTATCATATAAAATTCACCCTTAACTCATTCGCTACGCCGAGCCGTGGGGGGCGGCGCGGCTCAAGTGCGCCAGTACGTTAAGCCGCCTCCGGCGGCTCGAGAAGCCGACGTTCAATTTTAGCTTGGTTTCTATTCCAATCCACTTATCCATGTTAAAATAAAGTTCATAATATAATGTTGACTTACGGGTCAAGCATTTCCACCGAAAATCGGAAGTTTTGATTCAGTTTTGAAACATGATTTCGTAGTTTTTTCGACTTTGTTTTATCGCGAAGCCCAAATTATAGCCCAGACACCAGTCTTAGTACTTTTACACAACAAAATGTATAATTATTTTGCTCACTAAAGAAGTGTAGGACTCTTCTTTATAATATTGATACTATTGGACGCAAATTGCCAGTGCACTGTAATTGAGAAATCAATATTTTTGAGTGCTAGATCTAGGCCTAGATCTAAATAGTCAAAATATTTTTTTCTCCCCAAAATCACTACTTTTGGGTGAAATTAATCAAAAAGTACCACTCAAGACATGTATAGGTTTATTTCAAGTGCAATTCTGAATAATTCCATATAAGTTACGCATATTTTTATCTGTTTGTGATCCTTTTTTCAAAATTATTAAAAAATTAATTTTTTTTTTCAATATCGGATGTTATGATCCAAATGTACAAATATTATGGAATGTATGAAAATAACTGCACATTTTTCAATATTTTCCTGTTCTATATACAGTTATGGTTATTTTGAGGTACCATTTGACTAGGTGCAAACATGTTTTTTTAGTTTCACCTGAGATTATAAATTTTTTATTTTCCAATTTTATCCGCATCCAATCACAATTGTGTTGCATAATCGCCTCTTACAGGAACCAAAGTTGAAAAATACGCAAATAAATAATGCAGGTGTACTCTACAAACCATACTGAAAATGTTGGTATATAATATGTTGATATTTATTTGAATTTATGGCCCCAAAGACCTGTGAACTGCACACTAGTCATCATCTCATTTCGCCCTCCCGAAAAGAATTCGTCCACAAGCCGAAAATAATACGTAGCGAATGAGTTAAGGTCCCGCTCTGATCCGCACTGACTGAGCTACATTCAGCTAAGATCCCATTTTTCAAGTCAAGTTAGTTAGGATTTGTTGAGGGTTCTTTTAAAGAAAAAAAAAAAAGAATAGAAACTTCGAAGCGCTCAGCTGATGAACTAAGTAGCGAAAATGTGCGATCATTGAATGGTCCATCGCATCACGAATCATCCACTCTCATGAATGCAATCAGACCTCTGTTGTAAATCTCTATAAGCGGTTACAATGTTTGCCCCAGACGAGATCGCACCAAGGTGTAAATTCGTCAATGTGTTACTTTTCCTGACCGCCTAAGCAGTACTAGGTGGGGAGAGCCTACAAGCAAGCATCAGACAGATTCCATCAAACTGTAAACTTTCCCCAACCATCGCTCTCATCTTTCAGTCTTGCGTTCGAACTTCCTAGACAGACTGATGCCCATACTCGTGGACTGTCCAATCGCCTTTGTGTAATGTGGTAATCTGTAGGCAATGAATCTGCCTTTAATTTTTTTTTTATTTAGTCAGTGTGGGCACAACACAACGGTTTATGATGCATCATGACATGAGCGGGGAACTCCATCAGAGATGGAAAGCAATACATTTTTGGTGCGGGGCATTGCCTGTTCATAAAAGCGAACAGGTTCCCACTGGACACAGCCTTTTTTAAAAGCCCCACCACACCCACCCCTTCTCCCAAGCAATATAAAAGAAGGAAAAACTGATTTCTTAAAAGAACTTTTAGTGCCCAGAAGCCCCGTCTGTTCATTTTAAAGTAAGGGGAAATCATTGTACAGATTTTAGACCTGACGATGAGTTACTATGGATTCTTCCCTCTGGCCCTTCGGCTAAGATCCTGGTTCGCCAAAGATCCCACATTTTCCTTGCTCCCGAACACCGGGAACTTTGGTGGAGACTACTGTACTCCAATTCATTACTGACTAATGAAGTTTCCCCCCAAAACCCATCAAGAAACGTCCCACTTTTTGACGCCGTTTTCCTATACTCCCAAAGTTTTGCAATTTTAAAAAAGTGACTTTTAAAAATTTATAAATGGATTTTAAAAATCAAAACAATACAGTTCTTAGAATTGACTGTTCATTCGTTTAAGCTTGTTTTTTACTCTTTATCTCCGAGGGGGGTAAACCCACTACGCCCGGGCCCTATTTTGGTGCTACATCTAAAAATTACAAAAACGTAATTTAAATTCGTCATTATATTGAAACTAGCAAACCTATTTCGATAGTTCTTCATCTAATGAATTAACTTCCGGTATAAGAGACCTGTTTTCGGCAATTGCCAAAAATTAATTTAATGTCAGTCGAAGTCATCGTAAAGGAAAGTGCCCGAGCTGCTGTCAGCGGCTCACCAGCACAGTGGTTCCGACCGCGAGCCACTGGACGCAGCTTGCCCGAGATAAAGAGTTAAGCAATTTAGACGAAAATTTAATTTTTCATTTTCATTGCCAAAAAAAAAATGTCTGCGCTCCATCACAAAGGCAATTTCAGGCTGCGCTGGACAGTCTTTGAAACTCAAGTATCAATACCACAGTCTCAACATATGAAAAAGAAGTTCAGAGTCATCATTGCCACTCACTGGGTTGGTAATGTCATAAACCACGATAGCAGCCTGGGCCCCTCTGTAGTACATGGGAGCCAAACTGTGGTACCGTTCCTGTCCAGCAGTGTCCCATATCTCAAACTTTACTGTTGTGTCATCCAGGCAGACTGTTTGTGTGAGGAATGCAGCTGGGGAGAGGATAAAGAATACAAAACCCATCATTCACAACCCTTCTGTCATGATAATTGTCAAAGCAATGAGCAATACGTGGTCTCTGTGCATCACACTAACCAACACACTACAACGTTATTTTACTCCTAAGACACAATCACATCTGCAAATTTATCAAACAAAAACATCCACTCATAATTCTAGAACAGTTCAATCCATAGCAATAAAAAATAATCAAATTAAAATAGGTTTGACAAGATTTGCTTGTAGTAATGTTTCAGGAAATAAAAATACATGTACATAAGAAAAGAAAGAAGGGTTAACAATAGTCATACCATATAACCAAATACTAGAACTTGTACACAAAGTATTCAAGACTGTGAATTAGTGACTTACTAAAATGAGGAAAACCTTTATAATAAATTATAGGGAAAATGTAAACAAATAAAAATAAACTCAAAATCAACAGGGAACAAAATTACAAAACCTTACCCTGAATGTGGTATGAGAGAGGGAAACAGGAAAATTGAACATTTGTTGCAAATTGTAAGTTTGTTCCTTCATTTACTGTAATTCTACCACTGTGGTTGTCACTCTGTTTAACCTCTGAATCATTCCTACAGACAGGGGAATTTTTTTGTTTAAAAAAACAACAACACAAAAATGTTTTTAACCATATAATTGAACTTGCCATGAAAAAGCTGGTTTGTGTAAGAGTAAGTATGGGTTTGTTTAACAACTCTTCCATCACAATCAGGTTATAATCTAAGCGGCGGAACCTCCACATTAAAAGTTCACCTCCGATAGGACCGGGCCAAATGGGTTTGAAAACCTTGACAACTCCACAAAAAAAACCCATGTTCAAAAACATCCTAAACTGAGCTCTCCTAGGTTGACAGTCAATTTTCATGTCATGCATAAAACAGATGCTCACCTCCGATTGTGCTCTCTTGATACTCGTGAAACTGACCCTTGACAAAGCGCAAAACAAGACTGGATTTGCCTACAGCGGACTCCCCCAGCAACACCAGTTTGAACTGACATATCTTGCCTTGTGTGGCTCCATTTGGTCGCTGCTGGCCACCTCTTGCCGCCATGCCGGATTTTTATGTGTGAAAACTTCCCTCTTATAATCTCAATAATTCTTCCGCTTTCACCCTCTCTCTTTGAAGTGAAATTCTTTGCTTCGCTGATCAGACCTGAAAAAAAAAAGAATATAATACAAAATGATAAACTTTGCAAAATTCAGTAGTTATAGTCAAACCTGCTGGCCCTGTTAGACAATCAACTGAGCTAATGGCATTATCCCACCACCCTTTGTGTTTAAAAAAATGTTTTTTGGCAAGGGGGCTTCTTTTAAACAAAAAATGAAATTGTGTGTAGGAAAGCCACCTATCTAAATACGAAGAAACTTTTCTCCAAGACAAAAGTGGGCATTCCAGAGGAAGGAATGGGGAGACCGGAACCCCCCACCCCCTCCCCCCGATTTTTCCTAGGATTTGGTGCTTTGCAATTAGTTAGAAAGAAATCCAACAACAGACAAACTGACAATGAATACGACAACAACCATGGTCTTTTACTCACCGCTTTGTAGGAAGACTTCCGTAACAAGTGACCACCCCAACAAAAACAAAGAAGAAGAGGCCTAACCCTAACAGATCTACCCCTACCCCTAAATTCTGCTCTGTCTCATAGTGGTCGCTCGTTACGGAAGTCCTCCCGCTTTGTAATAATCTAATGACTTAATATTAGCCCGTCTCTAGCCTCCACAACTCAGTAGGCCTAAAACTAATGACACTGCTGACAAAAACTCAGCCAGATCAGAGGGCC